CCCCCCCGGTTGGAGCAGGAATGGAAAAAGGATGTGCACATAAGGGGTCACAGTGTGGTGTCCCCAGGAGGTAGGTCACTTCCAGCAGCTGCGGTGATAAGGACTTCCCAAGGGGATGTACGAGGTCTGCTCCATGCAGCTCCTGCTTGGAGACCAGTGTGGGAGCATGTGGCAAGACACCAGCTGCCTGGAAGGGGGTGTTTGTCATGCTGTTGTGCCCATCCAAGGAACAGGATGGCCAAGAGAGGAGAGGAGACAGCATCCCGGTAGACCTGCTGGGTGGCGATTGTGTCTGCTCTCCACCAAGGAAATCCAAGCCTGCACCAAACCTACAGGACAGTTCACCAGGGTCAAGATGGGCAGATCCCCGGGTGGGAGCTTGGGAAGTTACAGTAGCATGGGCACTGGGGCTGCCGCCTGTCTTTGTCCCATTGTCTGTGTGTCAGCCTGGGCCACAAGGGAGCTCTACACCGTCATAAGTGGGCAGGTTTATCATCTGTGTGGAAGAAGTTGCAATCTTCAACCTCTGATTCCATGGGAAACACATGTGCTGTTGTCAAGAGATGAACATTTTATTTCAGGAAGTATTTGGCCAATGTGAATGATCTGTGAGTTGGATTGGGAGGGCTGGTAATTTTTGTTGTGCTGGGGATGAAACTCGGGGCCTCCTGCATGTTAAGTGTGGCTCTACACCTGAGTTATTATCCTAGCCCCTAGCATGAGGTATGTCTGAGGGCTTTAATTCTCTTCCAGCCTCACACGACAGGCTGACCAAGGTCCATTTATATCAGCCATGTGTGGCTATTCAGTGTGGAAAGGTTGGTTAATAAAGTTAGAAGATTAGGGAGAGACTGCACCACAGAGCCCTTGCTGTGGGCCAGCGTGTGTCCCACAGCCCGTCTCCTGGCAGCCTCAGGACCTGGATACATCCTTCGCAGCGTATCAAATGCACTTGGAGATAGTACATGATTAGCAGCTGAAACAAGATAGTTACAGCAGAACCCCTTAGAAATATTTCTGAAGCTCTGGTAGGGTTCACATAAAGATTTTCCGTTCTTGCAGGAGCAGATAGGATTATGACTGGTGAGATTAACCTTCTAATACCACACAATTACTGCATTCGCCATAAGATAAGTGCACTGGGGAAAATGAAAAACACTGGCTCATTACTTGCTTAAAACCCCTGTAGTTTAGAGTCTCTGTCTGTGAACTTTCTTGACATGCATCTCTTTAACTGTACTGGGAGGAACTTGCTACCTTCTCACCCACATAAGACCGAGTGCCCTGGGACTGGATCAGATCGAGAAGCCACAATCTCTGCCCTTGAAAGATGCATGCAAGTGAGCTGCAGGCAGATATCTTGGCTGGGACAATCATGGTATCTCCAGGAGTGCAGAAGTACAGAGTCAGCTGCAAGGATGGGAGCCTTCATGTCAGCCATCTGGGCCTCAGGGACCCACCCTGGGGTGAAGGAGGGGCCAGCAGTGAAGGCCCAGGTGGGCCTTGATGGGAAGCAGAGTCTTCAATAGAAAGGAGAGAGTCACGTTTTAGGGAGCTGGCATCCTTGGGGGTAGAGACGGCTCACCAGGCTCAGTCCCTGTTCTATGTGATGTACACGTGTTGATTCATCTCACCCTCACCCCCACCCGACACAGGCCCTTATCATCACTTCCCCAGGGGGAAAAGCAAGGGCCTCGGAAGTTCAGGGCCTGTGCAGGGCCCCACAGCAAGCAAGCAGCAATTTAGCCTCTCTCCCCAGGGGGCCTCTGTGCACCCCGAACTTGAAAGTGTGTGATTTACCAGGGACTGAGGTTGAGACACCCCTTCAGTTGGTCTTGGTAGTGTGCAAATTACTTTGTCCATGGAAGTGCCACAGTGAGCGAGGACCACGAGCGCCACTTCAAGCTGCTCTGTTGCTTTTGTCTTGCAGTGATTTCCCTCAAAGCTTCAGAAGATTCATCCTTCGAGAAAACAAAGGCCTGGGCATTTTTTGAAGGTAAGTTTGGCCTGTTCTAAGATGCAGTCTCAGTCTTACATAACAGGAAAAGAATAAAATAGGAAGAACTCTAACTCCTAGGTTTTGCCATAACATCAAACTGGATTTTTTTTTTTTTTTTTTGGTTGAGATTTAGGAGGGAAGGTTGAAAGTCAGAAGGGAATTGCTGGGGTCTCTGCTGCTGGCTTGGAAACAGCGCAGGGTACAGTGCCAATCTGCCTCAACTCGTTTGTTTCCTGACTCTGTCTGGCTCCAGAATTCTTACTCCAGATGACATTGGAGAGACTGTCAGTAGTGTGTAAAGCAGTGAAAAGTGTATCACTGTGACTTCGTTTTGTTGTTTAACAAACTTCTAGAAAGTGTGAAAATCTTCAAGCAAGTGGTTTTCCCACCCACGTTAGAGCCTCTCAGCACAGATGCCTGGACCCCATCTGGAGGGATCCTCATTTGGTTGGAACTTAGTGAAAGCACCTCAGAGAATTCCAGCCTGCAGCCAGGCTGAGATCCAAGGCCGGAGCAGTGGCTCCCAGAGTGATCCCCACCAGCAGCATTGTGTCACCTGGCCTCTTGTTAACAAAGCCCTCTGCAGGCTCTGCCTTGGCTCAGGCTCAAGTCCGAGTTATCATTGAGTGAGTTAGGTTTTACTCTCTGGGTTTGAGATGTCCTGGTTATGCTGATGCATATTCAGGTTGGAGGCTTAGAGCAGGCTTCTCAGTGGGGACACTGGGCCCGTCCATGGGACATTTTTCAAGGTTTTGGTGAGCACCGCTGTGGGGTGCTTCTGGCACCTGGAGGGTAGAGGCCAGGGACGTTGGTCAGCATCTCCCAGTGCATCTTCTCATAGTCCCACATCAAAGAACTCTGGCCCCAAATGTCAAGAGTTCTGAGGATACTGAACTCAGCCTGGAGGAAAAGAAAGTTTGAGAAATTGTCATCCCCACCCATGTGACTGTGACCTGAACAGTGAAAGAAGGTATGTGTGAGTTCTCAGGCAGTCTTTCCTGACCCAGGGAAGACTTGATGAAGGCATGGGAGTTATTGAGGAGGCTTGGCCCAGTCAGAAAGGGCTGGAGAAGTGCAACACCTTGGGGGTGGGGGTGGAAGCTTTTGGATTCAAAACTACCCATGAAGCAGTGCACCAAGAAAAACATAACTTAGCTTTCAGTTTTTATTCTTATCAGTCCATGTTTGCGATACGTAAATGATTGCATTTCTAGAGGGGAGTTGGCACGCATACATAACACATATTAATTATTTCCACATGTATCTCCCCAACTCTCCCTTACATCTCCCTCCCTTTGTCCCCTGTCTATTTGCAAAAGACTTAGCTCTGTTCCCTGCTATCTATTTTTTTTTTTTTTGATGTGCTCTTTAATTTATCTACACTTTGGGTTTCTCACTTAAGAGGAACCATGTACAAGGACTCATGTACTATTTGAACTTGTGTTTCTGATTTATTTCCCTTCATATTATAGTCTCAAGATCTATCCATAGAGAAAAATGACCCTTCAATTGTGAACAAGTTTGCAAAGCTAGGAGCCAAGCTGATTGATAAGATTCAGTGTTTGGTTTAGAGTCCTGAGTGTTCTTGCTCTGAGACTCTGCCCAGGCAGAAACAATGACTCTTTGTGTCCCCTGACTTTTCTCCTGCACCCCTTCTAGCAGCCTTTTCATTATCTGATGACTTTCTCTTAGCAAAATAATTCCCAGGCTCTCACTCTGGGACTGCTTACCCATGGGCAGCGATGAAAGTGCCTTTAGTCCCTAGAATAACATAGTAGAAAAAGCAAGATCTACTCTTCTTTTCCTGTTTAGTCCAATTGAGGCAACTGTTCAGTCAAATTAAGGAAGGATGGGTCCTTAAGTGGGTCCTGGGACATCTGACTCATTTGAGTCGGGCAGTGACTCATCAGATGCTAAGAATTCCTGGGGAGCTCAGGGCTCCACCCCTGAGGAGCTGATTATTACCTCAGCAAGGGGTAGAAGAATTTGTACCTCCTCAGGGTCAGAGGTGATTTCATGCAAGTGGTCTGAGAACTGTATTTCTAAACACAGCTGAACCCCAAACCAGACTTTGCATATCAAGAGAGATTGTAGGGCCTCACCCCCACATACCTCCCAGCATCACCCCTGCATGCTACGCCCATCAGCAGTGTCTTGTGGTCTTCATCTCCTCTTGGTGGAAGCTGTTGAGTGGCTTGTATACCCTCACCATAGTGAGACCAGAGCCAGGGTCCAGGCAGCTGGTACCCTTGCTGCCTCCTGCGTGCCTGGGGCAGCTGTTTCCCAGCTTGCCTTTCCTTTGATTCCAGCAGCTGCTGCCACAGCAGCAGCATTATCTGTACTTTGCTTTTCGTACCCACCACAGTTTTGTCAAGGTCAGGTGTGGTGATGAAAGTGCCCGGTGCAGCTCTCAGGCCTGCTGCCCTTTTGCTCTTGAACAAGGAAGCTTCGATGTGGGCTGCGGATGGATGGCCATCCTCTTGGGACTTAGCTCAGCCTGGCTGTGTGCCTGCTGAGCAAAACAAGCATCGATTGTCCAGCAACCAGAGCAAGTTAAAATCCCTCAGGGCTTTCTCTCAGGTATTATGCCTTGAGCAAGATGGTTTTATAGGCTGCATAAGAAAAGAGTAGAAGCACACAGTGTTATTGCCAGAACTGCATCTCCCAGGTGCCTGAATTTGTCCTGGAAATGTAGAACACTGACCCTGATTTTCTCCATTCACTGGGAGCAGGGAGGGGTCATAAGGGCTCCTAGACAGTGCTGAGGCACGCTGAGGCTGCTGTACTCCAAAGCAGCCCCAGCTGAATGCCCCACCAGGTTGCCAGGCAACAGGTGCCAGGGCAGAAGCAGGCAGGCTGACACTGTCACCCTGCTGCTCTCCCTACAGTGTGTACAGCCACCCACCCCATCTTGCTGGCCCTTCTGCTTCAGGGAGGCCTGGACATTTTGTGCAGTTGAGTCTAAAAATGGCAAGGGTGTCTTTGGAAGTCCAATGGCAAAAATAACATGGCAAATGAATTCACAGATGACAGCATCATTTTTAGAATACTGTGAGCACACAGGCGCATAAAAGATTTTGTTTTATTTTAATTGTGTGCCATTGGGGTTTGAATTCAGGGCCTCAGCATGCTAGGCAAAAACTCCCTATATCCCTGGTTCTCTGTTATACTTTACAAGCTAATTTCAGATTTGGCTGAATGTAGAGGTTTTGTTCAGTTTGGGCCTCAAGGTTTAACTTCAGCTTTTGGACAAGTATTGTTTGGCCAGGGCTGAGTTTGGAATCTTTTGAGCCAACGACTATAGAGAGCTTGCTCTCATGCACTGTGAAAAGACAGGTCAGAGGCACGGGCAGCACCAGGCTCCCTTCCATACAGAGACTGGAGGGAGGAGGGCAGGTGGAGGCAGCCTAGCTGTCCTGACCAAAGGTGACATGCCTCAGTGAGCATGGCTTCTGTGGCTTGAGGTCCAGCTTTTGTTTCACAACACACCAGGAAGGGCAGTGTCAGAGGTTTGAGCAGGCTCAGTGAATGGTTATTTTCATGCCCCCAAAGGAATGCTGCAAATGAGGAAAACCTCAAACTTTAGGGGATGATTTGCTGCCAATTGAGGAAGGTGAGATGTTCTTACTGAGTTTTTCTCCCCAGTGCAATGACTCCTTTAAAGGCCCCTGCAGTTTTAAGAATGGAGCAGAGAGCAGGCAGGGTCAGCATTGTTCCCGTGCATGCAGAGCCCCACCGCATGGGTGGGCGGTACCTGCTGGTGGTGGCCACAGCCCCGAGTGCTCATGTGCTTGGCGCAGAGGGGCGGAGCCTTCCGGGCTGGCCAGATGTTTTTGGGTTCTGTAGCAACAGCTGTCCAGGGTGAGCAGGCTCCCTCTGCGCCATGGCATGGAGGCTTTGACCTAAAGCCATATTGGGCCTCCAAGCTGTTGCCTCCCACCAGGGTAGGGCTGCCCCAGATGTGCACAGCTGCCAGCACTCTGCAGGAGAACTACCAGCTGGTGTCTCACTGCAGCCTTGGCTCTCCTTGCTTCGCGCAGCCTGAAACTAAGGGAAGATGAAAGCAAGGCTGGAGGTCAGGCCGCCCTACTCCTGGCAGGGAAACCAGCAGGATGGTTTCTTTCCACTTCCAGAAGGAAATGGAAGCCAAACTGCCTGCCTTTTGGTGCAGACAACCCATCTCTAGCATCTCTCAGCATCCATTCAAGGCATGTGTGATGCCTACCTGTCCCAGTTTTATCTGGCCTAGAAATGGGACTGTTACTTACCATGTTTTTAAAGCCAGAAATGGCTCTGAAATTGTGTTCGTTTTCCCAACAGCTTAGAGATCCAAGTGAGTGAGTGTGAACCTGCTGTGTCCTTCAGTTAGGATCCTGCTGGGAACACATGGTTCCAGCTGGTGTGGCCTGTGCTGTTAAAAAGGCCCAGGAAGCTGACCTGTGCTCTTGTCTATGGTGCTTACCCGGAAACACAGTAGCACCCACAGGAAGTTGCTTCTGTTTATAGTATGAGGACAATTTTCTGTTTGCATCCTGAGCACCTCATGTTCAGAGACCTCCTGCTCTTCCAAGCTGGCTTCTGTCTCTTGTCCCTCTACTCCGACTTTCTCTCAGGGCTTTCTCAGCAGCTTCCATGTGGGAAGTGCTGCACTTGAGGATTTCCTCTGGATTCTAGAATGCTCCCTGGTTCCTCCTAGCACTGTGCTTCAGCCAAGGCTCCTTTGTGGGAGGTGCTTCCTTTGGCCCCTCTGCTGTCCACCCTCATATGTGGGTACAGGAGCACATGGCCTGCAGTGGTCCAGTGCCCAAGATTCAGGCACCTGCCCCATGCCCAAATCCGTGGATACTCAAGTCTTCTTTTTAAATATGAAATGGCATCTTGATTACATATAACCTATGCACACCTCCCATATGCTTTAAGCCATCTCCTCACAAGTTATGATACCTATTGCAACATGAATGCCATACAGCTAGTTCCTACATTGCTCTGTGTAGGGGATAACAACAAGGGCTAGGCTCTCCACATTCAGCACAGATGAGGTTTTTAAAGAATATTTTTTTCTCCTCATCCTTGATTGAAGCCATGGATGCAGATGGCAATCTACACTTATTTTTAGCCCAGATCTGAGTGGCCAGGAAAAAAGCCTGCTCCTGCTAGCTCAGGTAGAAATGCTGGGCAGCTACAAAAAGAGGAGCAAACCCCTTGAACCTCAGGGGTAGAGGGCCACACCTGTTCCCTTGGGAGCCAGATAAGGGAGTGATGGAAAGGCCCTGGCTTTCTGGCTCCCTTCCCCATCCCCTTTCTTCTCATGGACCCTCAGCTTACTTGTGGCTCCAGGCTCCCCCCAGAACCCAGCCACTGGTCAGCCCCACCGCCAGCTGCCCCCAGTACCTGGCTTCCTCAGTTTAAGCACTTAGCTGCCTGCTCCTCCCAGTCCCAAAGACCTCATGAGTCGTGCTCTTGCTGGCTCAGTGCTTAGACTCCCAACAACCTCATCTTAAAGCTTAAAGCAAGAACCACATTAAGATTCAGGTTCTGAATGCTCTGCCTGCAGTCATTTATTATGGGAAGAACAGCTGGAGACACCAAGCAGTCAACAGTAAAAGTCCCTGGGCCAAAAGCTTCCCAAAGGAGCTGCACTATTTCACACCACCACCAGCCACGGGTGGACCACCCAGCCCGCCTACAGCCCTGCTGGCATGTGGTGTGAGCATCGTTTTTCATCTTAGCCGCTCTGGACGGTGTGTGGGCATTCCATCCTGGGTTAGTCTTGCTTGTCTTTGATACTCAAGAAGTTAAACCTTCTCCCACACAGTTGCTTAACACATAATATTCTCCTTGGTGAAATATTCTCCTTGGTTTCTGTGTGTTGTGCTAACTTTTGAAATAATGGAATTGCTCATATTTTACTGTTGGGTTTTGAGAATTCTTTAGTTGTCTTCTGTATACATTGCTTGCCAGTATTTTCTCCCAGTTTATAACTTAACCTCTTACCCTCTTTCCTATGCTTGTTCTAGGAGAAAAAGTTTTCCATTTTGATGAAACCAAATTTGTCAAGTTATTTATTCTACTTTCACTGTGCTACTGGGGATTGAACTTGGGGCCTCGTACATGCTAGATAACCACTCTGCCAAACAGCTGTGCCCAGCACACAAATTTTATATGGAGAACGTTGCTAGTGTGAAGTCTAAGAACTCTTAGATCCCCCAAATTTTTCTCCTGTTTTTCCTAACAGTGTGCTAGTTCACATTTCAAACCAGATTATAGATCATTTTGGTTAATTGATGTATAGCAGGCAGGATTGGTTTTATGGTTTTGGCAAAGGAAGTCCAGCTGCTTCTGGGCCAGTCATGGAAGGGGTGAATCTGCAGCCATGCAATTGGTTTCTCAGTTGTCAGAACCAACCTCGGGGACTGGTGTGGCTCTGTGTCTGGGCTCACCATGTTCTGCTCCATTGGTCTGTGCCTATGCTTCCACCAGGATCTTGATGGCTGCAGTCTGGGGACTTTTAGAATCCCACGTGGGACTACTTTTGTGCCTTTCCGGAGACAGTGACCTGCCATGTCCTCACTTTTTAGATCTCTACATGTACGCTGTCCTCGTGTGCTGCGTGGGCATCCTCAGTGTCCTGCTGTTCACCCTGGTCATCATCTGCCAGTCTGTGTTGCACAAGAGGAAATCTAGAGGTGAGACAACACTGAGGTCACACACCCCCCCACCCAGGACAGCTGGAGAGGCCCTGCAGTGTCCTCATGGTGGGAAGTCGTGCGTGTCAGGCACAATTTACCCAGTACTTGGAAACAAAGTGGGTGAGACAGTGTGTTCTGCTCAGGCAATGCTAAACTCAAGTGACCTAGTTTCAATCCTCTTTTCCTCAAAGCCCTCCCTCCCTCCCTGAAGGGATGAGCCTGGGGAACCGTTTTTGAACAAGTTCCTGAGCTGCCCTCAACTAGACAGCACGTTCTCTCGAGCATCCACTTGGCAGGAAAGTGGCACCTGGAAAGTCCCCCTCTGGCTCCTTTCCTGTGGGGCCCCAGACTCGCTGGTCTCTGTCCTCTGCTTCTCCAGATTTCCTTCTCAGGAATTCTGTTTTGGAGGACACCTTTCTGTGAATTCTGCCACTTCTATCTTGAATCTCTCCTGAAACGTGGTTTGCAGTGTGTTTTCCTGTGCTGTCCCAGAGGTGCCTGGGGCCTGCTACCCACTCAGTGACACCTGAGCTCCTTTCTCGTCCTCCCCAACTGTCTCTCTGAGCTTATGGCCTAAACTGCATTTGAGTGTGGGCGTTGGCCTCTCCTGAGTGAACCCTGCAAGCAGGGACATGTGTGTAACCCACTCTCCTAGGAATCTAGAGTGGGACAGGCGCTCAGCAAATGGTGCACATGGGGGTCTGTTCCAGCTGCTCTGCTCCCGGCTGCTGCCCCTTGGAGGCCTCACAGTCGCTTCCAGAGCCATCTGTGTGAGAGTGTGACATGTGATGCCAGTCCCCAGAACAGGAGGCAAGGGATCAAAGCTTGGCCAGCAGGGCAAACTGGGACACACAGCGACCCAGCTGCTCCTCATGAGGTGGACTCCAGGTGGCTTTGTGTGCCTGTGTGTGCAGGTCTGGAGCCCCTCTGTGCTGTCGCCGGATGGTCTGCCCATCTGCTATGGTGCAGGTACCTGGCTCAGCTCCTGTGTGTCCTCCTTCATGGCCTTCATGTGACAGACAGCAGGGCTAAGGACTTAGATGCAATCTCAGAAGCAGGGCATGGAGAAGTGAGGCTTGGGGCTCAGCCCCATTGCAAACCCTGGAATGGCTGTCAGGATAGCCTCAGTCCCTGGGCTGGGCAGTTGGCCTGCACCTTCTTTAGTGGTGGTAACTGAGCATCTGCCCAAGCTGCTCCCTGGCTCCTGCTCTGCTCTCCCCAGCTCCCACAGTCCACCTGCACCTACTTTGGTCTGGCGGGATCCCCAACAGCAGGCTCAGGCTGGCTCTACCACTCGCATTCTAAGGGCAGGCTCTGTGTGGTGGGCTCGGATGTGGAGCAGCAGCCCCCCTGCTTTCCAGAGCTGCCACCCTCCGTTCACACCAGACACCCTACAGCAAGGCCACCAGCCAACTCTTCTCACCTCTACCCAGTAGCAACCTTCACAGCATGTGTCCAGGTGGTCCCCTTACTGCTCAAACTGAAAGTCACAGGGAAGCTACATTACCCCCCCCCATCTAATGGTCTGTAATTAAAGGAGAAAGAAGAGGAAAGTAATTTGTAAGATAACATAACACATTCTAGTATCATACCTCTTCTTTGGATGGACAAATGTGAGTTTCAAGAAGCCAATCCTTGGTATTTGACTTTTGAAATAAATGCTACATAAGATAATGTACTATGCTTATGTTGTTAGGAGACAAGTGTGGGTGGATGTGAAGATGCGTTAAAAGCTAAGGAGGCCATTGTAAACTTCCAACTGCTAGCAAGCATTCAAATAACAGATACACTTTCACTTGATTCTCACTTTCTAGAAACACATTATTTCACATTTAATGGAGCAAAGACATACCTCGTGTGTATGTCAGGAGGAATCAGGTCCCCGGCTCTCATGAGTAGGCGTTCCTCTCTATATATAGATGTTGAAGGGTCATTCGAAGTCAAGGAATCTTCAACTGTGGACATTCTCTGTTGCCTGGGCCCAGCGCCCTGCCCACCAATCATCAGGTGTTATACCCAGTCAGTGCATTAACCATGCCAGCTCCAGATTGCCCTTGGAATCCCTGGAGCCCACTGCCAGTGAGCAGCGGTTCCCAGCCAAGGCTGTGTTCACTGAGATGGGAAATTAGAGCCTGGGGTGAGAAGCAGCAGAGGGGCTCTTGGTCGTGTGAGTCATTGTCTTTCTGTGGGTCTGCTCTTGTCCTCAAGTTCTCTTAGTAAGTACCCATTTTCTGGCTGGGGAGGTAGAGGCACCCAGAGTTGCCCCATTACTTCTCAGGATCTCAAACCTACCCTGTCCAGATCTGAGCCTCCTGCCTCTCCCTGCAAGCCCTTGATAAAAGCTATTCTCCCTGTCACACTGAAGACACTACAGGGAGGTGTCCAGTAGAGTAGCCTGGCTTAGGCCAGGGGCTCCGACAGGGGCTGGGCAGGTAGAATTGCAGGGAAAAACCCTGGCTCTCCTCGGAGGCTTGAATTGTAGGCTTCTTTCTCCCCTTTTCCTCATAAAATTGAGATCTGATAAATACGGTTTCTTTGGTCAAATATTTTCTTATTCTGGACACAGAAAGAGCAGGGTTGCCTTTCCTGCTGAAGCCGAGATATGCCCAGATATCTAGAGGACACACCCAGATACGCAGAGAACACACCCAGATATCCCAGGTGGCTACTCCTGCAAACAAATCACACATGCAGTGACAGGAAACCTCATTTCTGCAACCTAGTCTGGGCCACATGACATAGCCTTCCCACAGTGGACAGGAGGTCCAGAATGCTGCCAGCTGTACTCTGGGGTCATCTCTGAGATACAGCAAAGCTGATGATGTCTTGAGGTCCCCTGTGGTCCCACCAGCAGGCAGCCAGAGCCCTCACCTGGTGACCAGGTGGTATGGATGGGTGTAGACTAGATATCTACACAGGGTCAAACTGTCTCACATGCTGTCAGTTACAGCAGGTCTTGTGGGCAACCTGGACCCAGGAGGGGTGAATGGCGAGGAGCTTGTAGTCATCTTTAGGCTCTAACTGCAAGGACACTGCTGCTGTCTGTCTTCACTGCAAACTGGAAGGAAGGGTAGCCCCACCTTGAGGAGGAGGAAAGCACTCCTCCCAACACTGCAGATGGCTGGACCATCATTGTATCCCCTGTGGCCTGACTACTGGGGCATTGGCCTGTTTCCCTGACAACCAGCTTGTTCCTAAGCAGCAGGTACCATATAACCAAGCAGGTTCCTGAAAGTGCCAGAGTGACACAGGGTCATCACCCCTTGAGGCCATTATGCACCTCAAGAGGCTGCTGCCTTTATGGGTGGCTGCGATAGTCCTGGCTCTTCTGGGAGCATCAAGTCCACTCTCATGGCAGGTTCTAGCCTGTTCTCACAATCAGTGCCTCCCACCCATTGATTAAACTGGCAACATGTGGGATATCTGGGAACTGAGCTCTGTGGGAGGAGGGGCGGGTCTTTCCAGGGACTCCCTCCAGAGACTTAGGGTTTCTAGGTTTCCCAGGCAGATGTATGGGAAAGAAGCCAGCCCCTCCCCTCTTTGGGGGCCACAGAGCATGAAGATTTGCAGCCTGTGCCCTGGCCTGTAGGAACATTTGTCCAGACAGAGGGTGGTAGAGTAACAACCCGGCTCCTGATATGAGTGCAGGAGGAGCCCTGCAATCAATAGTCTAGCCCGGAAGTCAAGGACACAGGCCAAGCCTCTGCTGTGTACCCTGGCTGCATGACCTTCACTTGGCCTCCATCTGCTGTGGCCACTTCCTCTCTTTTGCAGCAAGTCTCTGTCCCTGCTATATGTTGTTCCAGCAGTATCCCAAACCTCAGCCCAGCCCTGTGTTGAGGTTCTGTGTTGAGTCTCAGCTAAGTTGCCCCAGAAAAAATCAATCTTGGTGGTCTAGGTGGAGCCCGGAGCAGTTCTGGGTCCTCATGCATGTTGGTCTCTAAGGTCTTTGCATGTTGGAGAATCAGTCAGTCTAGCATACCACCCTGGGTGGCCTTACAATCTCGGCTTCCTCCATCTAAGCCTTAAAGGGCACAGTCTTTTGGATCTCTGGAGCCAGCAGGAAAGAGGAACATGACATCATATGTACCCTTCAGGGCCACTCCAGCAAGGTGTAGCTAGTGTGCTTTGTACTGGGACCAAGGACCCTTACACCACCCTCCCCTGTCCCTAAGCACATGCCCTTTGGCTTTCCAGCAAGACAGATCAAAAGGGCTTTCTGGACAGAGGCCCCAGGAGGCTGGAGCTGAGACTCATCCCTCTCAAGGCCACTGTTCACACTCCGGACAGAGGGATGGAGCCACAGGACAGAATGCAGTGATGGAGGACTTCAGGGAATAGAGGGAAATCCCAAGCTAGCAGAGGCCTGTGAGCTGGGACATGTGGACAGCCAGGGGCAGGACCTCTTCTCTCAGAGCCTGAGCTGCAGGCCCTGGGCTATGTCTGTCTTGGGTTCTGAGACTGAAGGAGGAGGCCTTGCCTGTCTTCTGGGGGGTCAGAGCCTCTCCTGCAGTCTCCTAAAAGAGTCCTGCTTGAAGAGTAGGGATTCAGGTTTCCTTAATGGTGAAGCAGATTTTCTGAGACCCTGGATCCGTGACATTCTGAGGCCCTAAGTGCTGATTTTAAAACAGAAAGCCAGCCCTCTGAGCTCCATGGTGCCAGTCTTGGGCAGTTCCAAGGGTGCCTTCTACAGGGGTACCTAAAATGCTGAGATTAGGATCCACACACTTAGGAGAGGTCACAGTTTGGCTCGTAGGATCAATCTCATGCCTTTGGGAAAACCTATCAACCTCTTTGTAGAGTTCAGTGCTCTCTGTGCACCATAAGAGTGCCAAGAAGGTGACTGTGAGGGTTCCACCGAAAGCAGGGGGCGTCAAATGCTTTTGCTCACACAGCTCCTAAAATAATTCTAAAAGTGGCATGCCCTTGACCTCTCTCTGTGGACACGCAAGATTTTTCATGTTCAATGTGAATCATTTCACAATATATCATTTCCTCATCGTTGCACATGTTGCTATTTTAAAATGCAATGGATAAGCCTCTCTCTTACATTAGATGGTCTTGATTTTAATTACAATCTACTTTTCTTTCATTTATGTATTTGGTACAGGGTCTCACTACAAAGCTTGGATTTGTAGTAATCCGTCTATTGTCAGCCTCCCCAGCACTGAGATGACAGGTGTGCGCCACCATACCCAGACTTGGTCACTGGCTCAGTGAGCCCTGGAGGTGGGGCTGGTGTGTCAAGCGGGACTGGGGATCAAACCCTGGTCCCTGCACTTGTCAAAGCAGGTGCTTAGTCTGCTGAGCTATCTCGCTGGCCCTCCCTCATTTATTTTTAAAACTCTGAAAAAGCTCTGGCTGTTCAGAAAGTTTGTACTGTCCCTTTTTCTCCTTAAACTTTATCTTTGTTTCACTTTCTTCATCTACTTTTACGTATCTTTTTTTTAAGCAGGCTCATTGTAGTACAGCTGGTCTTGAACTTGCTTATATAAACACAGCTTTTGTTTTAAAAGCATTTTACTGATCACCTTGTTGTACTCATTTGTGAAATATGGTCTGTTAATAAACTTTCATGTGCTTATTCTGTAAGTCTTTAATTGTTAAATGCCCTTATAAGATTAAGTCATTAGTATTGCAAAATTTGCAATATTGAAAAACTAGAATAAAATTAACCTAAATAATGTGTCTCATAAGTATATTATAAATGTAGATTAATAATAATAAGTAAAACTCTAATAGAGACATACTTATTAAATGGATTTTTGTTTTTGCTTTATCTACCCTTTTATGAATTTACTCAAGGGTAAAATTCACACTCAATCTTACTCCTACTTTGTAAATAGATGTTAGCTTTAAAATTCCTCTGTAAAAATAGAAAAAAAAAAGCCATAAATAGATGAAACTTCGTTATACCACTCATTACCTCAAACTGGCTCTGAATTAGATGTCAAAAGTTATGTAATGATCTAGCATCAAAATGATTTTTTACAAATATTCCATCAGCTGACAACTGGGTTAGGTCACCGTTCAATGCCCTTGACAGCAAAATACACAGAATGCACCCTTTGGAAGTTTAGCTGCCCATCCCGAGGTACGTATTTTCCCAGGGCTCACCCCCGCATGTCATACCTCCTGTTGCTTGCAGCCAGCATTCCATCCCAGTTTGGTCTCTGGGACACAGGTTCTGGCAAGGAAAGGATGCCTTTGTTTTAAAAATTAGAAAGAGTGAAATGTTAATGTTAAATGTTAAATGTTAAGGGAAGGGAAGAAAAGGAGTCAGATGCCAGGTATACAGCAAGAGAACCAATACCTAGGGATGAACACATGGAAAGCAAAGATCTAGAAACTGACTCTCTTAAAACTGTCCCATCTGAGAGTGCCTTAGGGAGTGCACACCCTAGACTGAATGAAGCCCACTGACTCATTTAATAAGCTTAGGAGGATGGCCATAAACACTCGAGTTGTTCACTGAGTACCATGGTTGCTATCATTATTGCTGGATCCATAAATTGTCCAGCACACGGTAGGTGTGCAACAAATAGGATGCAGGGAGAGTAGAGGTATTGCTAGAGAGTTGAACCAGATAAACCCACACAACCCTTTCTGGAGCTGAAAGTCTCATCCTACTCTGGAACCTGCTTTGGTGGCTGGCACAGCAAATCACCTCAAGGCTAAAGGCTTATGATAGCCCTCCCACTTGATCCCAATTCCCCAGGTCTGGGCCAGGCCCCTCTCTGGGATTCTAGCGGCCTCTGTCGGCATCCCTGTGCAGCTACTTTTTGCTGAGGGTCCACTGGACCCTGCTGCTCAGGCTGTGGCTGGGATTCCCACTGGCTACCGTATGGACCTCCAAATCTCAATGAGCCAGCCAGGCACCTTGTGTGGTAAGAGAGTTCCCCAGAGCACAGTGCCTTTGTTGTCTGTTCTTGTGACACATGGCTAATGTTCCCTCATCCCAAGCAAGCCATGTGACCAACCAATGAGCCAGCATATGTATGAATAGATAGTAGGAGGGTGGCTCACTGGGCCACTGGTGTAGCCATTCACTGCAACCCAGATGACCTTCTAGCTGAAGTGAACTCAGGTACAAGCCTTATACTGTACACTTGTGGGATTCAGGGCCTATTTTTGTTCTTCCTGTATAGCCAAAATCATATGGTTTCCCCAAGGAGACCTACTGCAGAAGAATGTCTTGCTCCAAGGCTGTTTTCACAAGGGTTTCTTTGAGTCCTGGAAGAACATCACTCAGAGAATGTGAACCCATTTTATAAGGAAGAGCTCCTACCTGGAGACCAGTTCTCCCATCTGGCTTCAAGAGGGCTTCCTCAGGAGTTGGATGACGTTATTACTGCTGAACACTTCTGGTTAGAAGCAGCTCAACCTGCTTTGGCCTAAAATAAATACTGTGTGTTATGTAATGGGAGCCTAGGGTATGTGTCCAGAACTGAGACAGTATCAAGGCCCTGGTGCCTGGCTGGGTCCAGAACTGAGACAGTATCAAGGCCCTGAGGTGTCCCAGAGATGGTTGTGCTGGGCTCCCTTGCCTGAGAGTTGGCTGACACAGCACCAACATGTAGGAAAGGCTGGGCCCCTGCATTGCATGTAATTCGTGGAGTGCATTGACTTACCATTTCTTATTCTTTTTTTCTTTCACAGTGAGACATTATTTGGTGAAATGCCCTCAGAACAGGTAGGAATATTTTCTTCTTCTTATCAAATGAAATTCTTTGCCATTTTACTTTTCTTGATGTTCAAAAAAAATGGTCAAAAATATGTTTATGCAAAGGTCCACATATTTGTGTGTAAATAAGGCAAAAATGTGATCTGCATGTGTTTTGAGTGTCTGAAGATACTGTGCTCTGATTACTACCCTTAGAGGGTAAGATGGCCACTGGCTCATGCTGCCCAGCCTGTGTGTTACCTGCCAGAGGCTTGGCGTGTGTCCCTGACTACTGATCCAAACCACATGGATCCTTCTGGCCCCAAACACTCCCCGTCAATCCCTTTCCACCAAGGCTCTCTTTACCCACTTTTCGCTGGTAAAGAGACACACTCTGTGGGTGACACAGTAGTTGTAGGAGCTATTTCAAACTCAGATCATTTAAAGATGTGGGGATGTTGATCCAGATGCAAGAGCATAGATCAATTTATCTCTGCTCTTCCCTGGTAAATGCACCTATAAATCTTGGAAATAATTCAAGAGATGATCAGGGGAGAACTCCAGGAGGTGGAAACAAGGTGAACGATTCTGAGATCCTAGGACTGAGGGAATGGCATGGCAATAGGGCATTTTGTGTTTTTCCATCTAATGGAAAGAGACCCTAACACATGTTTTTCACACCCAACCTTTCAACAGGAAGATCCAGGTAAGCTCATTCCTTCCACTGTGTGACTAGAGTTCCTCTGACATCTTCAGGGGAGTCTTCTACCACCAGCAGGGCGGAGGAGTGGGAACTTCTCCCACTACAGGCACCAGCTAATATAAGAGTTGAACAGAAAAACTGGTGAGGTACCCAGTCATAAGTAGCCTGGTAAGGAAACCTCTTTGTCTCCATGGGCCAGAGTCTTCCTCACCCACCATGAGGTATCCAGCCTTCCAACCCGGGGAAACACTTTCCAAACCAGCAGCAAACAAAACAAAGTAAGACAGGAAAGCCTCTGGAAGTGAAAAGCTCATTGGAATTTCAACCCACAGAAGGAGGCCAGGATTGGATGATAAACTAAATAGGATGGATGCCTACAAAAGAAACTGATTTAAGGACCCCAGGCCTCTGAACTGAACTAGCAAAACACAACCATCACACTAAAACCCACAAATATCACAACCTGAATGAGAAAAGATAGTTGACCAGATTAACCTTGGCATGAATCACATGTTGAGATGATCTATTGTAGGACTCTTAAGTTGTGATCATAAAAATTTGGTGACAAGCAATTAAACATCTCTTAAAGCAAGTAGAAAAATAAAATTCCCAATTAATAAAGAGAACTTATTTTTTTAAAGGGGAAATTACTGAAAAATATAATAACACATAACAATCTTAGATGATGAGTGATATCAGTGGATGGTGAGTGAGCTGGAGGACAGATCATTAGAACTTATCTATTCTGAACCACAGAGAGAAAAAAGACTAAAAGCAAATAAATAATGAACAACCCTCAGCTACAGAACAAGAAATCTGATATTTTGCAATTAGAATTCAAAAAAGAGGAAAAAGTGAGTTGAAAGAACATGGGGAAAATGGCGAATGAAATTGTGTTCAATTTATCAAAAGAAAAAAACTTCATAGATTTAAAGAAGATCAAACTGGATAAATCAAATAAAATCCACATGAAGACTCATCAAACAGTTAAGCAGAAGGTAAACTTGAATGTTTGTGTTTTCCTCTGAATCAGTAGAGGACTGAAAGAAGCAGCACTTCTTAAATACCGAAAGGACAAAGAGTCAGTCACATACTCTATACCCAGCGAAATTATCCTCCAGGAATGAAGGGGAAATTCAGGCATTCTCAATTACAGGAGAACTCAGAGAGTCTCGCACTAACAGACCTACTTGCTTTAAATAATGGCTAATTGAAAATTTTCAGACATAAAAGAAGAAATCTTGAAGGAATAGAAAGGAAACAGGAAGGCTTTACTTCCCATGAACAGACATGAATGTTAAATACCATATTTGATGATTGAAATGAAAGTATAAAACCATCTGATACTCAAGACAGTGGTATTCAAAAGTGAAGGAGATAAAAGGACTTCAATATAAGGAAGGTTCTACATCTTATGCAATGAGGTTCTAGAGAACTGCGGTCAGTCAAACATGAACATTGAAGTGCCCAAAGCTACTACTAAAATAACTGTGCAAAAAGTCCCACTTAAAAGCACTATAGAAAAATCAAGTTAAATCAATCAATCTATCTATCTATCTAAGTCATATAAAAGTGGAGAAATGAGAACTTAGAGTAAATAAACAAAATGGAAGACTTAAGTGTGAATGTTCTGAATACATTTCCTTAGTCATAGAGCCTGGCAGACAGTAAATAAAGATGTGATCCAAATGTATCATGTATGTGAAATTCACTCCATGCACAATGTGATATAGGTATAATGAAAGTAAATGAATGCAAGAAGCTATATCACACAGACAATAAAAAAGCAGGAGTAAATGTATTGATTAAGCTTCATGAAAAAAAACAAACTTGCTGTAGACAAAGAGGAGCATGAGATGATAAAATAATTAATCCACAGGAAGACAAAGGCCCTGTGTAATACACTGAACAGAAAAGCCGTGAGCATCAAGCAAAAATTAAAGAGCTTAAAGAAGAAACAAATAAACCTGGAGTTTAATGGGGATTTCAGGCCCCCCTTTTTGATAGGCCCACTGTGGACAGACAGTTTCCAAGGCTGTGGAAGACATAAACACAAGAGTCAGCCAGATCAATCCCTTGGTGCATATTAAACAAACAACTCTGGAAGAACATATTTTTCTTCAGTCCTATGGAACATTCACCAACACAGGGAATATCCTGGACTTTGACACAAAGATCAGCACATTTAGAAGAATTCCAGTCATGTAATGTGTTCTTGGACTATATTGGAATCAACCAGGAATCAATAACCAAACAACATTGGGGCAAGCTCTATGCAAATAAATTAAACACACATTTTTGTTGGAAGTGCCAAGATGATTCTAGATTATATTTGTAAATTTTATTTAAAAAATTGGAGGATTTTATGCAGTGCTTTCAAGACCTATTCTGATGTTCCTGTAACCAAAACATTTAGGGATTGGTTAAATATAGGCACAGAGCTTCATAGAGCATTACCAAGAACCCAGAAATACATCTTTACAGTTACGGTCGAGGGAATTTCAGGAAAGGTACCATGTGAACTCCTGCCAGACCTACTTTTCAGCAGAAGCTGCTGAGGTCCGTGGATATTCATATACCAAACATGAACAGAGACCCTGTTCATGGGTCTTTGTGACAAACTAAAAATTAACCCGAGACCTCACTGTTAAAACCTAAGCTGCAGAAAGTTTTGAAGAAAACAGGAGATAAATCTTTATGATCTTGAGTTTGGAAAAGGCACCCGTGCAAGACTCAGAAATGAAAAAATTGATAAAATGAGAAACAGTTGTATGTCTAAAGACACTATTAAAAATGAAAATGTAAGCCAATGAGTGAGAGAAAATACCCCTAAACCTGCTAACTGATAAGGAAGTTGCTTCCAAATATATAAAGAGCTCTTCAATAATAAGATGACACAGCACAATTAACATGGACAATAAGATTGGAGAAAATGTTTCCCTAAAGAAGATACACAAATGTGGTAGAGCACACCTGTCATGCCAGCTCTCTGGAAGGCTGGGGCAGAAAGGATCACAATTCACTAGCCTCGCCTTGACAATCTAGCAACTTAGCAAGACCCAATCTCAAAATAAACAATAACAGCAGGGCTGAGTATATAGCTTCGTGCAAAGGCCTACATTCAATCTCCAGTGCAATAATAATAATAGCAATAATAATAATGGTAAAGATATACAATCCATGAAAAGATGTTCAATATCATTCATCCTTAGGTAAATGCAAATTAAAATCATACTGCATCCTGGCTTTAATCAAAAAGCCAGACACAAACAAAGACTGGAGAGGGTGTAGAGATCCTAGGTCCTTGTGCATTGCTGCTGGAAACATCAAGCAGTGTAGCCCCTTAGGAAAGGATGTTATCACTTTTCTTAAGATGCCAAACTTACCATGGGGCCCAGCAACTCTCCCTGTAGAAATCAACCCTGGGAGCTGAACTCAGATTTCCACCCAGCAATCTCCGTGTAGCTGTTCCTAGCTACTTCTTTCCTAATAGGCACACTCTGGAGCAATCTAAACATCACCATGCTGTACACAGTGTCCAACAAGTGATTGCATACTTGGTAATGAGACAGTGCAATGTGTATCAGTCTCAAAACACAACTGAGTGAGAGAAGCCAGTTGCAAAATTATGTATTGTATGATTCTGTTTAATGAAATGCCTAGAAAAAGTAAATCGATAGAGACAGAAAATAAATTAGTGTTTGCTTGAGAGTAGGAGTGGGAATTAACTATATATATATATATATATATATATATATATATGGAAAATTTTGAGGGGTAACCCTAAATACTCTAAAACTATTGTAGTAATAGTCACATAACTTTATATAGATGTTAAATCTAATTAAAATGATTGAATTGTACACTATGTTCATCAAATTTTAGTGTACCTCAGTTATGCCTCTTTAAAGCTGTTTGCTTTTTTTTTTTTGAAGCATATGACTCTGTAGGTGGGGGCATGACTCCTAAGGGTGGGGGCATGCAGCCTTTTATTCCTTGGGGAAGTGTTATGGTTTGTGTTTAGTTGTCTCCCCAAAACCTCATGCAGTCATGGGGCAGGAACTTCTAGAGTTTGTGATTAACTCATGATCTACTGGGAATATGGGTGATCCAAGGCTGGGATTATGGGTTTTAGTGCTGCTGGGATTATGGGTGTGTACTTTCCCCAGCCTGGAAGAGAAAGCCTGAATGCAATTTAAGAGAGATAGACTTCCCCTCTGTTGCCATTGTTGCTGCTATTTCTCCATTTCGGTCTCATGCTCTTTGCCACCACCGTGAAAGGATGCCCTCTGCCATGTGCCATGCTGCCTTGGAACCAGCCTAGTAT